TGTCCTGGAGGAAAATAGCTACTTACGATTTGACAGCGTTTACCGCTTACGATCGCCATTTTGCTTATAAGCGCTTGCTAGCGCTTTTTTCTGCCAAACGCACCCAATGCGTGTTGGCGGACTTCACATATCTTCGAAATAAAAGCCATCCCTAGAGTTATTTTTAATTACTTCCCCAGAATTAAAAAAAGCACCTTCACGTCTCTTTTTCATATACAACAGTAGTGACACAATTTTCCATACAATTGTAAATTGAGTTGTATTTTATAATTGATGTCCTTGATCTGTTTTTAGTGGTGCTGCTAAATGCAATTAAGAACAATGAAAAAGTAATACAAAATGGTTGGTACAAGGCTTTGGTTGATTTTATAGAAATACTTTATATAAAAATATAAATATCATCAGGTATTCTAATGCCAATGCAAATCGAATAGTGTCAGAACAGGACGAGTCCGATATTTTCATACAAGTGGTCACATACGATTAGCAAACAGAAAATAACGTAGTGTTCGTGTCGGCAGTACTAAATATCGCCCATTTTCCTGAATTTAAGGCACACACATAGCATAGAGCCGTGGTAGCTCAGTGGTTAACGCTCGCTGTAAATATAACAGAACGCGAGTAACCCGGGTTCGATCCCCGCCGGCACCAATGAAATTGTTAATTGCAATTTTAAGTGCTGATTTACCACGTGCTCGGCGGTGAAGGAAAACATCGTGAGGAAACCTGCATGTCTGAGGAATAAGAAAAAAATATTTCGAAGACATCTGAAGTTCGTCAACACGCATTTGGGCAGCGCGGCGGACACTTCCTTGCCCTAAAACCCTCTCAGAAATGAGGGGAGGCCTGAGCCCAGCAGTGGGACGTATATAGACTGTAACTTTACTTACTTTACATAGCAGATAATTATCTTATGAGAGACTTTTATATTTCGTTCACTTAATAAACCTTATATTTTTATCACGGTACGAAGTCACCCGGTATATGAATAAAAGAATGCAGCACCTCATTTTTTCCTGTGGGAGTCATAAGGTGCGACTATAAGAAAGGTTAGAAAGATTGTTTTAAATCAATAATGTAATTCATATATTCATTCGGTACAGCCTATTACAGCTGAGCGTAGGCCTCTCCATAGATTGTCCAATAGTGGGGATATCTGCCATAGCTGCCACACTTGACAAGCGCAGTTTTTTCCTGGTTTATTTCCTTCTGTCGCGTTTTACGACACCCACGGGACGATATGAGTTAGTGAATATTCTTACGCCACCACTACACGGTCTGCGGTCACTTCTAAATCGGTCTAATCGATTTTCAATAATGATCTCTAATAAGTGTTCCTTTTTTAGAGCGGGCGTGTTGGGCCTCATGTTACATTCGACATACAACCATGAAGTGATGGAACGTATTACGAAGGTTAACGAAAACGGCAAATTGAAAGAAGGCTCCTGACAGCAGAGAGTACGCAAACGCGCGGCCAGCAGAAGCAGCGAGCAAGTGTCAAATACATAGTTATGATTTGTAAAACTGAAAATTTCTATAAATCATGTATAAAACACATTCTGTTTCATTACCTATTTTCGTATATGCTTGAAAAATTACCTATTGGTTCTGGATTTACTAAAAATACTTTTTTCATTCGCATTTGCAGTAACACTGAATATTTTTTTTGTAAATAATCTACTTATGAAATAAAACAACAAATCAAATTTCTAACTCAAAAGAGCGGTTTTATTACCCTAGCATTTATTATAAATAAAATTAAGGCTAGCATTCAGTTCTTATTTAGACTAATGTTAGAACAAGTTGTTACACGCCGAAGTCTCACGGAAGTCTAATACTTCTCTAACTCGACTTCCATTGCGCCATACATTTTAAACTCTGGACATAAATTAAACACACGATATTTGAATTAAATATTATTACTATGGAATCAGTTTTAAGCGTGTTTTAGGCAAACTGATTATAATTATAGCGTATAAAGCATGACTTACGTGTATTCCAATTCTCAATCCAAAATCAGCTGGATAAACGTCTAACAAAGTAGAAGTTAAATTTATCATTGTGATATTACGCGTGAACGAAATACAGTGTGTTTAATTCATTCCGAACCTTATAGTCTCACCCTAACGAAAATAATGCTAATTATATCAAAACACGTATTAATGCAACATAAATCTTTACAACACAGATATTGAAGCTGAACGTGAATACAGACAAAAATTTATCATTTTATTAAAAGCTATATGGGGCTATTACAAAAATCAATTTCAGCCACAATATGTTATGATCAAAACATATAAGGAAAAAGCGTCATCTTTCTATAATTTATCTCATTCTTTCTATAATTTATCTCATTTAAATATTTCGTTCTTCATTTGACTGAAGTATCTTCACAAAATGTCTATATAAATTTTAAAATAATATTGCAATTTACTTCTCGCAGTAATCATTATGAACTGTACTACGATAACAAATGCATTTATATATCCTTAAGTCTGACGTTAAAAAGGCAATAATGTGTAATCACTAACTAGTGGTTTCGAATTGTACAAAAACTAAATCTCTCAATTTTGTAAGCTAACGTCGCTACCTCTAGATGTAACTTACATAATTTTTACAACTCCCCGTTCGTGGGGTGCATTGACGATTATCATTATTGATTAAGTAGTAAAGCGCTGTCGAAGATTTTAAATTATTATCAAACTGCATTAAGTTTTCTCCTATATAGCTACATACCTCTGTCGAATGGGAAAAACAATTTATCTACTAGCAATTTTTATCCCTACAGCAACATACGTTTCTCAAACTGAGCACTACGTTTAAAAATAAAAATGGGTCAGTTGAAATTATTTGATTACTACAATTATTTACTAATATATGAATGGCATATTGTATCACGTCGAGTGACAATCTTCGATTAGAACCTATATACCTAATAACCTTTCAATGACATCTTGTTATTGATCACAATCACATGTTCTAACTATGGTGAAAAAACCTCACATCAGTAATTCTTTCAGTTTCGCAATTGTGTTTAATGTTTAAAATGCGAAATTTTAGTAAATTCATTGTCAATACAATAAAGTTATTGCCTTCACCTCTTCCGCCACAAACGCTTGTTGCAGACATATCATAGCACAGGTCTCCGCGTTAACAATGCCTGTGTTAAGAAATAAAACCCAGTATACTGGCCAATGCAAATGACGTCATAAATGGATGCCATACTGGTGATTCGTTTCAAAACATTGGCCAGTATATGACATCATACATGCTCTCGACCACTTTTCATTAGTAACAAAGAATGAGTATGATTTCTCTATTCTCTGAAGAGAAAGAGATGAATCGTACAGATTTAACTGTTACGACTCTGCCATTTTTTTGTATTTAAATAAATAAAAACAAATTCCGGCATGCTTCGATTCAAAATTGTTTTAATATGTCGGGATATCCGACACAATATGGCGGCAGCACGCCAGTAAAATATGGCGTCAATTATTGACGTCATTTGCATTCGCCAGTATACTGGGTTCTATTTCGGAACACAGGCTATGTAAAATGACAATATAATTCCAAACATTTCGTTCACAGGCAGATGCACAAAAATTATACAAACATATTGACTCTGTATTAATTATATTATTTTATATCCAACGCCAACAATCTGAACCACATTATATCCTAGTTGGCTTATACTACCACTAAAAGGCTCACTTACAACTAGGAAGCATTTCACACGTTACAAGGTAATTAACACAACATAAATTAATTAACAAGAGCTTGAAATGAAATATTTACATTTTACTCATATATTTCATACGTTCAACTTATGACGTGTCATTTAGAAGCACGAATAACAACAGAGAGCTGTCGAGTTAATGAAAAACTTTAAAAAATTGTCTTAATTTTTCAATTGAAAAATGCTCCTCTATCATATTCATTCTGAGTTTAGTTGAAATAAGTATTATAATCGTGTGATGCTGCGATATACGAGTGGTAAGTGGTTTGAATAATATTTTTGCAATTAAACAATACAAAGCTAACAGACCATATATAATAGAGACAGTACCTAGCTTATAACTCCTTAGAAATGAAATCTTACAATTCAAATAGATGCAGATGCTACTTTACTTATTTGTAGATTACATGTATTCAATGAATGACTTACATCATAATGGGCTGTCCTTAAATATAAATGTAAAAAAATAAATGTCCCATCAAACCCTTAAAATTGTCTCGATTATTGTTTTATAATATGTCTGTAATTGAGATTGCTAATTAAATAGTTTAATGTTGAAGTATTTAGAAATAATTATTGATTTCATTGCTACATTGCAAACATATCGCACCCTTAGTAATATAAAGGCTCAAGTCAATTTTTTTGTGAAATGTTATTTTTAACGCTTAGAACGTAAAACCAAATTATCTACCGGTTGCCGCTGACAGAGAGAGAAAAAAGGCAATAATGACTCAGTAAATGTATTTGTGTCCCTCTCACACCCTTCCCGCTCGTCTCCTAATCTTACCGCTACACAGTCGCAATTAGTAACGTGCCCATATTTATCGGAGGAAGACCGTTCAAACGTTGTGCAATTCGTGTTTGTGCCCTTATATGACAAAAAAACAGGTGAGTTTTGTTTTGAATCTTTTGTACTATTTAGAATAATTTGTAGTTGTGCCGTAATATTACACAATATATTGATTTTTTTGGGTCTAATTATTAATAGATCGCTATATTGTCAAAAACTAAAGATGTCAAAGGGAATTATATCATAATTGCTCATTATAGTATGTAATTTTTTTTTATTTACGACGACGTATTTTGTAATAGGCCATTACTTATATGAAACATTCAATTTGTTTTTTAATTTAAGCCTTTTAAATGAAAAGTAAAATAATTAAGTTATCGTAAACTTACAGAAATATAAATCATTATTTACTAGATAGGTGGTATTTCTTGTTTTTGGTATAAGTATTGTTAGATTTAATGTGTTTTCAGAAAAATGGAATCCCGATCACGAAGAATAATGAATCTACTTAAATCACCAAGTCACCATAGATTGGATTGCGACAGAGAGAAAGATCTTTGTTTGGGAACTGAAAATGTAATTTGACTTTTGTCTTTTTTGTTCAAGTTTTGTAATTTACTTAATGCCATTTATTTTATTAATTGTAATTTACTGTCTTGATTTTATTTATGTCATTTTTTTTTCAGATTTGTAACGAAGAAAAAGAGAACACACCATTAGAACTTATTAGTCCAAAAAAAAAATCAAGTTGTGTTACCCAGCAACCAATTGATTATGATAGTTGTAAGGAGATGAGTGACGAAGTAATAGGAAATATAAATGTCATGACCTCTCCTCAGAAACCTATCAGGCGCCGTCTTTCTAGCTCAAGCTCGTCCAGCTCTAGTAGCTCTAGCAATTCTAGATCTAGCAGCAGTAACTCAAGTATTACTTCATCTAGTACTAGTTCTTCTAATGCTCATAACACAGGGCGACGACCTTTAGATGAAAACACCGTTCCACTGCAAGATAGTTCTAGACATACAAACGCCGATCCACAGCCAGGTACATCTAGAGATGAAAACGCCGACCCTCAGCCACGAACTTCTAGAGACAATTTTTCTCCACCATCCATATTGACACCAATTTGCAACGATTTGCCATTGGTTCGACCCCGAACAGCGGTTTGTAAATATATAATTTCTCCACTTCATTCGGAGGAAAGTGACGTAGATCTCAGTGATGACGACCCCTCTTACATTCAAGAGAAAAACCATCGTCAACGTTCACCGAGCCCAGCAGCTGGCAATTCTATTGACGATTATGTTCCAATGAAACCAAGGAAACGTAAAGCAGATCCAAATAAATGGATGCAAAACACGCAAAAAATTAAACGAAACTTGGGTCAAAGTTATGTAGCTGTACATTCAAAGAAATTGGTCCCTGCACGTAATATTAAACCACCTTGTGGCCAAAACTGTCGATTAAAATGCAGTGATCGCATCGATAATTCTAAGAGGTTACAGATCTTTAACGCCTTCTGGGCATTAGGTGATAGACAGTTGCAAAGAATGTATATTTTGTCTAATAGCACAAAAATTACACCTAAGTACAAGTATACCAATGCCCAGAACCCGCGTAATCCAAACCATGCATTTTATTTTACTGTAAATGATGAAAAAGTAAGGGTATGTAAAGTATTTTTTATTAATACTCTTGATATTTCACATAAGATGATTCGAACCGTACAGGCGGAGAGCAGAAACACTGGAGGTTTCATAAAGGATGACCAACGTGGTAAACACAATCATCATAAAACTGCAAGTGCTGAACTTATCAATGACATCATCAGCTTTATCAACTCTATACCTCGCATTGAGTCACACTACCTAAGAGCATCTACCTCCAGAGAGTACATCAGCAGTAGTAAAAGCATTGCAGAGCTCTTTAGAGATTTTGAAGCTTTGCAAAAGGAGAGATCGCGCCCTGCTGGACTCTATCACACGTTTAATGAAACATTTAACACCAAATTCAATCTTGGCTTTTACCAGCCCAAAAAAGATCAATGTGATCTTTGTCTACAGTACCACAATTCTACCGAGTCACAAAAGCAAAAACTAAAAAATAAATATGATACCCATTTAGAAGAAAAGGAATTAAGCAGAAAAGAAAAAAAGAACGACAGAAAGAACATTGATGAATGCAATATTTGTGTATGCTACGATGTACAAGCCATTATGCAAAGTCCGAATGGTGAAACTTCGGCATTCTATTACAAATCTAAACTCAACAGTTATAATTTTACTATGACCGAATTGAATAAAATTCAGGAGGAAAATGAGTCAACAATGGATATTATCTCTAAAAGCTATGGTACTGTCCATTGCTATTTTTGGGAAGAGACACAAGGTAAAAAGGGGAGCTACGGAGATAGGTAGCTGTGTTTATCATTATTTGAAAATGGTGTGTGAAGAAGCAGGTGAAAAAGAAGTTAACATAACGTTTATATCTGATAATTGCTGTGGGCAAAATAAAAATAAGTACCTCACCTCTTTATATTTATTTGCTGTGGCCAATATAAAAAATTTGAATAAGATAACTCACAAATATCTTATCAAGGGCCACACACAAAATGAGGCTGATAACGTACACAGCTTAATCCAAAAACAAATCACTAGAGATCTGAAAACAGGACCAATATACTCGCCAGTACAGTACATTTCAGCTATAAATAGAGCAAGGAAGTCTGGCACCCCATTTAAAGTTCATAGTTTAACCCATAATTTTTTTTATGATCTTCAGCAACTGCAAGAAAAATGGGGCTATAATTTTAATACTGACGAACAGAAAAATAATGTAGTATGGAATAGTATCAAAGTATTGCAATTTACCAAAGACGACCCCTTTTCTTTTTATTACAAAAGTTCATACAAGGATGATTTCAAAAAAGTAAATGTTCGTAACAAGAGGAAAAGAATGCCAAATATTGAAGAAATAACTATGCAAAAGGCATACTTAGAGCCACTTCAACTTAGTTCTGCTAAAAAGAATGATCTTAAGGATCTCATTGATAAACAATTGATAGATCCATACTATGCTTCTTATTACAATACCATGTTGTCTTAAGATATTGTTAAACATATTAGAGATATTTTTGTTTAGACAAGACTGATTACTATGTAAAAGTACTACTTATTAGGTTTTTGTTTATTTTTCATACTATACATTTTTTTGTTATGAGTAATTATCTGAGATTAAAATGGAGTAAGTGGAGAGGTTAATATAAAAACTGTAACGCTGAAACTTATAAGGGATTTTATCCTTAAAATAAGGTTTTCATACTTATCATGTTGACTTAATTGTTTTATTATAATTTATAAGAAAAATATCTTAAATATTTGATACTTTTGTTATGTAAAGTTTTTGAGGCTTTTGTTTACTTTTGCTAAGTAAGTATGGATAGTTTTTTTAAGTCTGAAGTGAAAAATATTGTAATGTAGAATAAATAGTCATGTGGAAGTTATGTAGCTTTATAGTTGGAAAGTACCTACTTGTAAGAGTTTATAGTTGTAATGTTATTAATAATATTATGTTGACTTAATTGTAATATGACAATAGCTCATATGTTTAATTGTTGATAAAAAGAAACAACTATTAGATTGTTTGTTATTTTGGGCTGATTATTTAAGTATTATTTTTATTGATATCTGATGTTTTATTTACAAAATGGAAACAATAAGTTCAGACCTGTGGTTTGATTTTGTTATACAGAGTACCAACTACGATTGTAAACTAAACAGTGACATGGATGTCAATAATATACTGAATCAAATCTAAATAGGTCCACATTACTATTATATTTTTTGTGATATATGGGCCTAACTTGAAAGTGATTTTTCAAATGCTTATAATTTATGGAATTTCATAATATTTTATTTTATTTTATTGGCTACTTATAGAATATCTCTTAAAGAATAAGCCCTCAAAATTTTATATATGTAACTTAAGTAATAAGAATTTTATTCACAAAATAAACCGGGACGTAAGAATCCAGAATCTTTAAACACGTATACCCAAAGAATTACTTTTTAGTTTTAGGCCCATATATTACTGGGGGTGCGATATGTGAAAATTATAAGTTTAACGTTTTCCTGTAATTTGAACAAAAGTAAAGTTAAAAAAAAGTGTTGCTTCATTACTCTTTTGAATTTTTCCTACCTTTCAACTGCATGACTTGATAGGTTTTGTCAACGGATTTTCTTTATTATTTGGTGCTTGTTGTCTTTGTTTTTATATTAAAACAACTAAAAGCTATCTCAGTTGATTTAAAATATGAACACTGCCAACACTAAGATTCTCCTCTCTAACTGAAAATAATCGATAATTATGAATTTTCTTTGCAACTGCGTACTCTAGCAAAGTTTTAAGTCAACCCTACGTTGTCTTTTAAGTTATCGTTCCATTTACATTTAAAATCATTCGCTCGTTCACGACAAACCATTCAAAACAAACATTGCAATGTACAAAGCTATGAAATATTTTTCCTTGTTTTATATTCCACGGGTCATTTTATTTTTACATACTTACTTTAACAAATAAATAGTTCGTTATCCAAACTCTATAAAATATGCACTAACAGCAATTATTAATGTAAGGAGCAAAATGCCCTCTCAACTTTATAAATATTTGCATCTCATAAATTACAATTTTTAATATGCGTCAATAACGAGTATCGTTGGGGATTACCATCGTTTCTGGACATGAATCTAGCCTTTAACTTAAATAATGCCACATAAAATAATTTTCTCAACACAGTTACAAATTCATTATTTTAATGACTGGAACTACACTAATCCATTATTTGTTTGCTTTATTAAATTAAGAATAGAATAGGTAAAGTGAAGTAAGGTTCAAAAATAATGTACCATTACTGATGAACATAGAAAAAACAAATGCCAATAAATTGAAATTTATTTATCTACAGCAATTATGAGAATAGCACGAAATGACATTATAATTTCTTGTAATCAAGCAAAAACGTTATTTTTAACATAAATCAACAAAATCTAATTTCACTTAAAAGTCAAACGTTTTTGTATAATATAACGAAATACAGCTAGAAATTATATAGGGTTAAGTAGGGTAAGTAAGGATATTTTTAATAACCCAATTGTTATCACAACCACAATATGTAGGTTTTATTTTCGATGTGCTTATACTGTGTAATATGAATTATTACGATACTTAAAGCTTTAATTTTTACACATCGAGAGAGAGAGAGAGAGACTGATATACTTGTTGCACTGACAGCTCGTTAATGGCTGTGAAAGCTAAATGGTCAGATAGAACAAGTATTATCGTTTACAATATCTGTGTTGCCATAATAAATAATTGTATCACTTAAATTCCACAGATTATATGGTTTCCAATAGATAATAGCTACTACTTTACTGTGTAGTGGTGAGATAAATATAACCACTAGACTACTATCCCTTATCATTCGATACGTCGTTAGAGGCATCTTCCTGATGACAACCGAAATTTTGCCAGATTGCCAACTTTGCCTGGCAACTATGACCGCCTTATGAGGCAGTCATATGTTTGGCGGTGGACTTTTGATATGCTGTAATGGTGAAGGAACTGTAATAGACAATAGGAAAGTTGTCAGTGCCAATGATAACACTTTCATTGTTCGATTTTCAGACACAATAGTGAGACAATAGCAATGAACCATATGTGGGTCACTGCACACGGAATGGGTTGAATTCAGTGTAGTTTCAATCATTAAAATAAAATGATACACATAGTAACAATACATTAATTTAAACTAAACATATCTATTGTATCACATTATGCAAACGTCTGAACTGTAGTCGTACGATATTGTACTCACTCCGATTGCATAAATAAATATAGTTAAAATTGGTACTAAAAACTTATATAACGTAACCAAAACCAAATTAAATCTTCTTATAATATACAGTAGAGTTTAAAATTTAATTACCTTAAATATGAGTGAATAGAGGTCTGTTTATACTGAAGTTGATAATAGTGCATTAAAATCAAAGAATTACATTCTATTTAGGGATTTAAATATAATAACGGGTTTTGTTTTCCTTATTGTATTGCAATGTAAGATTTTGTCGAGATCTTTTGTTCGACAAAACCAACTTTATCAACAGTAAATAACATACATAATTTTATTTAATATACGCACGACTACTAAACAGATAGACGCCACTCTTTCTAGTGAGATTCCGTCTATACAAATGTGTTCGGTGCATGCCTTAGTGAGTGCACTTGAAGGCTCAAGAATATAATTGTCGACGTGTCGTACGAACGTAATTTTACAGATGCTTAACGAGTAGCGAGAAGCAATTGTCCATACATCAAAAGTGATCGCTGATGTTGCCGCAGGAATCACTCTTTGTAGACACTTTCACCGCGATGCACTGTTCTGCGTACAGTTTTGAACGCAAATCTGTGAATAAAATTTTATATTTTAACATACATGAGACAGATAAAAAAAATTATCGTAAAAATGTATATTTAATATTTCCATCAAAATTGATTACATAAAAACATTAATTTTTATCTTGCGAAAGTAATGTACAATATTTACAGCTATAATCAAAAATAAAATGCATCATAATATAGCACTATTCCTTGCGTTATAATGTCAAGAACGTTGCTTCCATTTCCACATTGAATGGCTTATATTTAACTTTTGAGCAAGGAAATAGCCGCCCCTTCGTCACCAGAGACTACGACTAGTGGCGGACATACTCATTTCTTTTAGAAACCTTACCGCACGTGGATTCGACGAACAGACATATATTTATTTGATTAATATATTATGCTTAAACAGTAAATGGCACAAATATGTAGTCATCTCTCAAAGACACATTATTTGCGCCAATTACTGCGTTCAAGCCTCAGAGAACCTCGTTTAGGGCCGGGGCATCTTGAGATATGAGACAATATATTTTATAGCGATCGTATAAATATATGACAGCATAAGAAAATTCATTAAATTTCATTAGTCATTGATGTAAAAACGGAGAAAGGTGAATTACAAATCAATTACACGCTCGTTTTCAAATTTTATCGTATATGAACAGGCAGAGCTTGATCGTCCCTATACTCCTCACCACTATTATTGTTAGCTGCACTTTTAAATTCGATTTACGTGAAGCGATTTATTACAGATTTATTTTTAATTGAGTAGCCAAATTTTAAACTTAAGTTCAAATTTATAAATAATGACATACTTTTATTGCAGTTTTTGAAAATACGAGTAAAGAAGGCTTATACTTTTATTTGAAATTATCCCAAATTGATTGTGATTTATGATCAACAACGTTTATGCCGATGTGCCGATACTGATCGATCCTTACGAATGTGTGCGTGCGCAGTAAAATCAGTTAAAATAAATAATAACATTTTGAATTTAAAGGATAAAAATGACAGATTGATTAAGACTTTTTTAATTAATCTTTCTTCACCATTTGCCTACATTACTTATTCTGAACCTTCTCTGCAAATTTGGCCAGTTATTGAAAAATAACCCTGTATAATTGAATAATAGGATAACAAACGAGCACACAGTCCAGGTTGTAAGTGATTGCGGTGTACCACGTGGTAGAGCTGTGCTATAGCTATATTTACGTGGTAGACCCACGCTACAGCTGTACTATAGTTGTAGCACAATTGGATCGGCTCGACCGAGGAAGGACCACGCTCTCGCAGAATACCAGTGTAAAATAGCAGCGTAGTGCCGCTGTGTTTCGTATGGTGAATGTAGAGAACCGTGACCATTTTTACTGGAATTGAGGCATTCCATCTTAGTCCTCAGGAGTGACGACGCATTTGCATTTTGATCCCAAGTTTAAGATAAATTGTGGACGTCTACAGGCCATAGCATTCACTTACCATCAGGTGGACTGTGTGCTCGTTTGTCACCCAATGCTATTTAAAAAAAAACCATATAAGACACCTACCACATACTACATATTTCCTCAATTAAGAATAACAATGCAAATGCGTCGTCACTCCTAAGGACTGAGATCGAATGCTTTGTTCGATAACCAGTTAAAAGCGTCTACGGTTCTCTACCATACGAAATACAACAGTATTAAGCTGCTACCTCACGTTGGCAATTCTGTGAGAGCGTGGTCCTTCCTCGGTCGAGCCGATCCAATTGTGCTACAACTATAGTATACCTGCAGCGTGGGTGTACCACGTAAATATAGCTGTAGCACAGCTCTACCACGTGGTACACAGCATCCACTTACAACCTGGACTGTGTGCTCGTTTGTTATCCTATTATTCAATCATACTGGGTTATTTTTCAATAACCAGCCAAATTTACAGAGAAGATTCAAAATAAGAGATATAGGCTAATGGAGTATTTTAAAATTATTCGTGTCTTGCAAATAGCCCCCTCAGTTCAATCTATGGTACTTATGTCGATAATACATGCAGGCACTTCAATTTTATTGATTTATAGATAATTTCTTAAATATAAATAGAAGTGTAAGCACAAGATATATAGTTACCTGCGGTGTTGAGATTCAGTCGAGGTTATCCTGGAAGATGAGGCGGACGTACCCGGGGGTGCCCTGCAGCGGCGCGGCGCAGAACGGACAGATCGCGTGGAACCCGTTGGTGCCGTGCGGGATGTCCACACTCGCCCAATATCTGCCGACATACGTACGATGTATCAATACAATGAAACTTTATATGAGACATATTAAATTGTGAACCAAGGTAGCCAGTTAAGAATTAAAAAAAAATCATTATACCCTTTTCTAATAAAGTTCCAGAAAATATGCAGAACTTATCTATCAAAAACTTTAAACGAGGATTATATTTAGCAGTGGACATGTAAAGGGCTGTAATGATGACTATGAAGTGTATTTGTTGATATTAAGTATGGGATTGAGACTGTCACTCAGATTATACTGCATCTTGGCTAGAAGAGAATTCCATCCATTTGTAGAAAATACGTATAATTTATTTGTAGAATAATGTTCAGCATTAGACTTGTGATGGACTGTAGTAATAGGATCCCAGGATTGGGATTTAAAATCAAAATGCAGACGCTTTGTCATCCCTGAGGAACAAAATCGAATGCCTCCTATCCAGGAACCTTTTTTTGTAAACATTAACACACAGCAGCATTAAGCTACAATTTCACGTTGGTATAGAGGTGGTATTGTTGAGGATATTAACAGTAGAACCAGAGTAACCGGCATAACTCAACGGATCAGTAAGATGAAGTGGTAATAGTTCAGACATATTGTTCGAAAAACCGGCAATCGACGGGGTAACGGAAAGACGGTCTCCACTAGATGTAGTGACGACTTGTTATGGGGATAGAGTAAGTCAGCTCAAATTCTAATTTCGTCCCCACTTGCCCGCGCGTCGTATGCTATGTACCGACATGTTTGTAATCACTAATACTGTAAGTAGTTAACGGTCGTTAGACACTTATTTCATTAGGTTTATCATATTTATGCCTGTTTCTTAACGCCAAGCCAGTCGCTTCTTATTTTTATTACGGTTATTTCCCATTTTAATTTTACGTCGTCCTGTTGCGTAATGTATATTCTGATCGTAAGCGACACAACCTCCCCGTTCAAAGGCCGAAGCGAAGTGACCATGCGGCAGGAATCACGCTTCAAAAGGCCGATAGTTTAGGTAATTAGGTTTAGGAAAGTAAAAGGTCTTTTTACAATGAAAATAATGGTATTTAAAAAAAAGTAAATAACATAAGCACTGCTTTATAGTTAGTTCAGTTAGTATGCAAAGTTTTATCTTTCTTTTATGAATAACAACGGTTTATTGTTTATTTTGGAGGTAACTTTGGATTTTTTTCTATCGAGAAAATTTTACGAAATCGTGTTTTCGTCTAACATAATCCTTAACATTAATCCTCAACTTTACCATATATTTATTTCAAAATTAATGCTGCAATATTTTCGGCATAACGAAGGATCTTGCTAAGCCATTTGAGATTATATTTCCCCTTAACAGAAGCCCTTCTCACAGTGAACTTTTATAGGCTATAATGATTTTACTCCTCGTTGCTGTTGACTATGCAATTTTTTTTTTAGAAACACAGAATATCACCTGATTTAATTGACTACCACAGCCCATGAACAACCGCAACACCAGAGGAATTGCAGGTGCGTTGCCGGCCCTTTAGAAAGGAGAAAGCACTTTTCTTGAAGGTCCCCAGGTCGTATCGGTCCGGAAAAATTGGAAAAATTGAGTTCGTTTTTATGTCAAGTAATTCTCATAAACAGCACGGAGTCAAGTGCGGTGCAGAACGTGTTTTCCAAACAAAACACGTTCTGCGCCTGATCTTTCTCAGGTCGTGTCGGATTGCCATCCCATCGGTGTATGAGAGATGAGGCAATAGAGAGAGTATCTGTTCTTGCACACACACATTTGGGCACTATAATTCTGTCCCGCGCATATAACTAGTCTCCGTTGAGACAGGCCGCTGCATTGTGACCGAAATTGACTGAATGCCTTAAGTCGTTCTGTACCAGTCAACCATAAGCCTCAGCAGGGATAAACATGTGGGAGGTAATGCAGCAAACATAAACTAAAAAAGAAAAAAAATGTATTGATAAACTAGAATATATAAACAACGTAATACTGACTCTGATATCGCACTTAACGGGAACCACACGATTTTCATCACATGTTGTATATATATATCGAAAACTAAGGATGATGTAGATTTTTTTTATAGAATCAAAAAGGACAAACGAGTATACAATTCACCTGATGGTACGTGTAGTTTCTGGTTCTCCAACTCACCATCCGATACACAGCGATATTGCTATTTTACGCTGGTGTTCTGTGAGGGCGTGACCCCTGTCGATCCGATTCATTCGTATTACAATCATAACATAGCTGCAGCATGGCTGTACTACATATAAACGGTGGTAAGGTGGTGAGGCAAGTGGATGGACTCACTTGACGGTGCGCTCGGAGGCCATGTGTCCGCAAGGGTTGAAGGCGTAGGTAGGCGGGCCCGCGTCCACGTAGAAGGCGGGCTCGATGCCCATGCACACGCGCACCACGGCGCCCGCCGTCAGGCACATGGGGCAGCGCCGCACACCCGCCTCGCTGCCCTCCGCGCCCCACGAGTGCTCGCCTGCGCACCAAAACGTTTGTCTATCACTACACTAGCTAGCGGCGGTTAGTGAGCGGCAGTGGCAATGGTCCGGCCGTATAGCTCGCAGAACCGACAACCGATGCCGAAGAATTTCACGAGTGGCAGCCTCGTAGCTGTTAGCTAAGCATGGGGCAGCCCCCCACTTAAGGGAATGACGACCCGGTAAGTCATGCAAGAATTCTTACCCACTCTGACACACTGACAATTTGAAAGTTAACAAACAAAATAATTAGTCTAAGTATGCAGTATGATACTTTATTCAAGAACATACATTAAGTGTTTAGACATTGACATTATGAACGTAAACACAGTGTTTTATTTTATATAATTTATAGTATGCTAAGATAGTGTCGGTACACCCGAAGGCGCAATTATTATTTTGCTATTGCATTTTTTGTTCTGACATAGATAATATATATGTATATGGCCTAATAATTAGATAGGAGAGAATGCCCTATGGCATTAAGTCCGCCATATGTACTGCTTTATATATAATAAATAATTCTTTACTGTAAATGTTAAAGAAATGCTTTTCTGTTCTAAAAATAAAATACTATTTTATTCTTACGATTATTGTAATAAAATAAGAATACAAATAGTAAAGACAAGTTAGGTACCAAAGAACCGTTCACTAAAGCGCTTCAGTTTAAATGCCAAAATTTCCTGCGGTTGTACGCCGCGCGCGACGACCTTTGATGTGACGTCGACGCCTTTGACAAGATGCGGCACTTGCCAAGACGGCGCGATACAAAGGCGATCGTATCTAAGCGAACATACTATAATGTATGTATTTGTAACACACACACATACATAAATTGAAGTTTTTGCACTCATTCCCCATATAAACCGTAGCTATGCCAAATCACACACTCCTCGGTGCGCGTAATGTGCTTAAAAAGGCGTACAAAGTTATCACTTCACATAAATATATAGATTTCAAACAGTTCTGAGAAATCAGTGAGTTTTTCTGTCAAGAAATTCTCAGTAACAGCCCGGAATCAAGAAGTATACGGTGTTTTACTCCCGTGCTCCACGAAGAACGCGGAACCGGTGCACTACGAAACTGAGGGAAAAGAGAAGGCATCTGTGGCTACTTACACAATCGTGCTTACGATGTTTATCATAAATTCATTGATCCCATTTTAAAATATGAGGCAATCTATGATCTCATATTTTAAAAACCAACTTATAGCCCCCGCCCCCCTCTCTGGTGATAAGTTATATGACCAGTGTCTTGATATTATGTCGACGTGAGGAAATCTGCTACCTATATAATTGTGTGGGTGTCGTAAAAGGCGACAGAGTGAACCTGAATCAGATGTTTAGCAGTATCTTCCGAAAATTTCACTTCGCAATAATAATATAGAAACTACGTTTGTCAAACCGCCTGACAAAGGATGCAACTATGGCAAATGTCCAACATAAGAGCCTGCTGTAATAATATGTTAGTATTAAATTCTATAAAAACTTCGAGTCCGTCAGTCTGTTGCCGATGTAGATCGCGTACCTTGCACGTGTCCGCAGTTGAGGTAGACGTAGGGCTGGTTGAGGTCCTGGTGCGCGGCGGACAGCTTGCGGGGAATGACGAGCGTGTTGAGCCCCACCGGGCACTGCGGCCGCCCCGCGTTCAACTCGTCCACCAGCGCCTCTAGCGTGCGCTTCGTCTGCGCACAACCAATAAAGTCAGCGGTAACAAACGTACAGCGCGCGACGGAAACATATCAACACGGCTTTGATTAAATCAAAAGTCAGGGGTTACAAAAATTGGCACACCACAGAAAATATCGACACATTCTCAATTCAGCAAAAGTTATGGGTGACAAACATTTGGCATTGGACAGTCAAATATCAACACGCTCTTTATTTAGACCAAAGTCAAGGGTGATAAAAGATTTCGCACGCGGCAGAAAAATATCGACACATCTCGATTTAGACAAAAAGTCAGGGGTTACAAACATTTGGTACGCGGCAGAAAATTATCGACACATCTCGATTTAGGCGAAAGTCAGGGTTTACAAACATTTAGCACGCATCATATGATACAAATATAACATCAAGTCATACGACGAAAAATATATATGTGGTCTTTTTAACTAGGCCACGCTGGTATTACGGTTGCAGACAAATGGCTCAGCTCGACCGGAGATAAGCCACGCTCTTACAGAATACCAACGTAAAATAGTAGCTTTATGCTACTGTGTTTTTTGTATAGTGAGTGTAAAAAACAGGAAAAACTTTTTACTGGTAACGAGACATTCTTAGTCCTCAAGAGTAACAATGCTACCTACACTTTGATATTTAATCGACGATAGATCTAGGTGTAGTATATAATATATAGGCTTAGCTTAGGATAAACTTTGTGTTCGTTTGTCACACTCGTTATATAAAAAATGTAACAAAAATCAAAGATGACAAACATATGGGACACGACAGAAAAATATCGGCACGGTCACGGACAAAAAATTTTAATATAGTCAAGTCATCATTTCTCACATCGACATCGGCACACGTGCATCACAGCAGATGGCTTAACAAGGATAATCCCATGCTCACACAGAAAACTAGCATAAAATAGCGGCATAAAGCGGCTGTGCTTCGCATGGTGAGCGACGAATACCAGTCTTTTAATTGGTACTAAGGCATTTCATTTTGGCCCACAAGGGTGGCTACGCACCTTGATTATAACCCTTATTTTAAGGGTCATATCATCTGAGGATAGGTGCATATGACTATGAAATACAACCATCACATACCATTAAGTGGACCGTGTGCTCGTGTTACCCTGACTTGTATAACTAAACAGGTCATCGGTGGTAAATGACCACCGATACCATTGAATTGTCTGCAACACCGGAGAAATGGCAAATGTGTGTATTTTCTGAATTTATCGGTTGGTTTCCAAAAGCGGTAGTAATCACTTACTTAAGGTGAACACTTTTGTACAAGTAAAGATGATAAATGAGCACTCGGTTCACCTAATAAAGTAAACATGATTAAATTAGTTTTTTTTTTAAATACATACGGGAGAATTTTTAAGTCCTTCGGCGCTCCTCCATAGCAAAGTTGCTCCACACAAGTCGATCATAGTTCCATCTCTCAGCACATTTGTTTCAGCCTGGCATGGCACACCCTGTAAATTAATATTTTACTTTCGTTAGCTACTGTGAAATTCATATAAAGCAGGCTCTTTTAATTATAAGAAATTTCTATGACGAATATTTAGCTTCTACTAAAATATCCTAGTATTGAAGTGCAAAGAAAAAAAAAAAAAAAAAAAAACTTAGAGTAAATGAAACAAAACGGAGTAAGATATATTTTTTTATAATACCAATGTGAGAAATGAAGTTAAAGTTCATGTGATGGTAAGTGGCGACTGCAGCCCTTAGATACCTGCAGCCAAAATAAAGAAGGCTACAGATCGTGGTCACCTCAGAAGACTAAGATTGAATGACTCACACCCTGTAATTGTACTCGCTATTTATACCCCTTAGACCGAAACAATGGTAGTGCACGCAATGCCGTTTGACGGAAAAATAGTAAGAGGGTGGTGCCTCAACAGACATACTTCTAGGTAGAAAAGAAGTCCCACCACGAGTTCCTCATTTAGACTTCCTACAGCCTTAGGCTAACTATGAATTTCTCCCCCTACCGACCAGTTCTGTTTTTGCCAGCCCAGCCCACGAATATATTTACTAGGTTTTATATTTTAGTAGCTTTCTAGTCGGTTCCGCCCACATTAAATTAAATTTTCCTGGTAATAAATATCGATTATCGCCCATCAACAATTACAACATCAGGAAAATGCAGGAGCTTTCCTGGCTTTTTTAACAATGAGTAAGTTCGTTTCTTAAAGGTCTCTAATGTCGCAATGGTTCGGAAAAGTGGCCGGTGATAGAGTATTCCACAAAGAAATCTTACGTTGAAGAAAACTTCTAGTAAATCGCACAGTCATGGTAGACCGCCAAGCATCCACGTGGTGTGAGGACACTAAATTAGACCACAATCAGGGTAAATCAGGCCACGCCTACCACTGGTATAAATTACCTTCGTAACAAATAAAAAGGGTCTACGGTTCTCTACACTCTCCATATGAAACACGGCAGCATTAAACTTGCTATTATTTACTATATATGTTAAATTTGCTATATTTTTCGTCTTCGCCCGATCGTTATTTCAGTTACGTATTCGTGATACAACTAGAACATACCTGTGTTGTTTCTCAAATCCCACCACGCCACACAATCCCACCCAAAATAATAGTCTAATAATAATGATTAAGCTCTACTGATCATGATTCCGCGACGTACGAGTACATGATAATGTATTTACTAAGGCCAAATGGTCTAAGTGTATTTATTGTTACCTTCTGTTGAGCTGACCGACTCTCCCTAAGAGAGAAGACCGCACCGCCAACTGAGGTTTCGCGCCACGGGCCACAGGTGGCGTTGCCGCCGCAGAAGTCACCGCGTGGATGCATTATCAATACGCCGTTTGTCGTCAGTCCGTCAATTTCGTGATTCTCCGTCCATTTTGTCGCTTTTTCCTGTAATTAATTACATAATTTTACAGACATCCATTTTTAAAGTAACAATAAGTGGCAGTAGAAACTTTGTCACTTAAAATACGAAGTTGTTAAAATAAAAGCCTCAATATAAATTGTATTGGAACATCAGTAAATGATGGCTCGCCGTGTAGTTCAGGCGTAAGTGAATCTACTACCACGAATTATCGTCTCGTGGATGCCGTAAAAGGCGACAAAGAAAATCTGCATGGGCGGCAGCATCTTCCTGGTAACAACTGAAAATAAAAAAACTGTTTGCCAAACTGCCTGCCAAGCGTGGCAATAATGGCTAACTCTCTTTTATGAGGAAATCTGAAGGGGAAGCCTATGTTCAACAGCGGACATTTTATGGGCAGTAATAAACGATTCATCTCGTGTATAATTAAAAAAAATGTAATGGCAACTAAAACTACTTAAAACAAAAAAAACGTACATGTTTTTCTCAAAACTGAGACACTTAAATATCAGTTAATAGTAGATTGAACGAGAATACAGGTTCACTCTGCTCTTAATTTGTATTTTACACTTTTACCCTCCTGAATGGGGTGACCCCTTTCCTACACAATACACCAGTCTTTAGGGAACTGGTTATAATTCCTTGATATAATTCTTTCGTATATGTTCTCTACAATACCGTCTTTCTGAATGTGTCCGAAACCGAAGTATTATGCAAGCGTTTCGCAAAGCGCACACACAAGCGCGGAGTTCACCTACAGTATTATTTTTTTATTATGTGCGAGCAGCTACGCAGGTCTAGGAAAAGAGACCAGTATCACTGCGACTAAGAAGATCTATTGTGATCACCTACAGTAGCAGCCAGAGAAAATAACGTAGTACCGGCGTTGGCAGTACCACAGAATAAATAATAGGCAGTATTAAACATCACATTTTTTATCTGTCTGCTACCGTATGTGAACTCCGTGCCAGTGTGCGTGCGTCGCGAGACGCTTGTCTGCAATATACGTACACTCGTTCATTCTGTTGTAATTTATTAAGGATTATATCAACTACCCAATTATAACAATAATTATCGTTTGACAGCTTTACTAGGTCTAAGGCCTAATAAAATATATACATAACTCGCGATTTCACTCACGCACAGCCTACAAGTATAAAGCGTAGAGTTAAAAAAAAAAAGGAATGAAATTATTCCGATGGGTTTCTTGCTGGTTCTGTCCTGAAGACAGAAGTGTTTTGCCAAAAAAGTTTTTTTTTTTATAGGACAACTGACCAAACAAAAAAAAAAAAGCGCCCACAAGAAAAGTGACCCCCCCCAAAAAAACAAAAATTGCTTTCAACAAGAATTATTTATAATCTATATCGAATAAAAATTATTCTATTCTTTTGTCAACTAGTGCTGCGATTGTAAATGCTCTCATATATTCAATAATAATAACGTCCTCCAGACCGCATTTCGGTCACGGCCAGCCTCAACAGAGACTAGCCATCAGCGCAAGACAAGATTGTAGTGCCCAAGTGCATGCGCAAGCACAAGTGCACTCTCTATTCCCTCACTTTCATAATGCGATAGGACCAGAAAGAGATCAGGCGCAGGACCAACGGCTTTACGCGCTTTATGAGGCACGGGGTTGAGACACCGCCAACATCCTGATTCCGGCCAGCTACTGAGAATTTCTGGACGGAAAAACTCAATAGTGGATTTTTTGGTCCGACCCGGGATTCGAACCCAGGATCTCATGATCAGCAGTCGCACTACTACAACCACTAGACCAACGAGGCAGTCAATAATAACATAACATGAATGAAAAACTTACGAAGATAAGTGAAATATCTACCAATAGTGCGTGCCTAATAGGAGTAATTTTTTATTTCTTATTATTTTAAGGATCAGTTTATCAATCCTCAGTTGAAATTTATTCATAGAAATAAGTATTAATTAATTCGAACATCGACTGATAAAAATTCGATAATTTTTATCAGTCGCTGGCAAAATTAACCCTTACCCTACTTGTATGGAGCAACAAAGAAAGACGAAACGTTCTTTTCAAGTTATGCCGAAACCATACTCAACATCTAAATTATTACCAATAATAAAGTCTATCCATCCATCAGTTTCATTACAGCGTATAAAAGTCCACAGCTGAACGCGGGCCTCTTTCATAGATTGTCTCATAGGAATATATTTTTTTATAGAATAAGTGTGAAATTTTATAATCCTAATAAACTCCCCAGCTTTCGATTTGGTTGGATGGTACGTGGGTGCTATGAGCCATAGACATCTAAATTTATCCTCGATTAAGAATAAAAACGCAGATTCATTGTCACCCCTGAGCACTAAGATAGAATACCTCGTTTCCAGTAAAAAAGGGTCTCCGGATCTCTACTCTCACCATACGAAACACAGCGGTATTAAGATGCTACGCTGGTATTCTGTGAGAGAGCGGCTCGAGCCGACTCAATCATGCTACAATCATAATATAGCTGCAGGGTAGCTCTACCACGTATGAATTTTGCCATAGTTACTACGATTGGCAGGCGAATTGGCAACTGCTGTTTTTTATTATTTGAGTTGTTTTCAGAATGATGCTGCTGCCCATCTCCTATTTTAGTCTCCCTCTGCGCCTCTTACGACACCCCCGGGACGATATGGGGTAGTGGATATTCTTACTCTCGTACTACCAATTTATTATTTATAGTTCTATTATCAATTAGAAACAAGCCCGAGGACATTAAGTTATTGCGAGTTGAACTTACGCCGAGAAATATGTTCCTCGAGGAGTCGAAGCCTGCTGCATAGATGCGGCAATTGTTGACGTCGTTGCGGTCCGCGATTATGCGGCACGCGAACCGCGATATCGTGCTCTGAAGCACCTTCGTGTCGCCGCTCTTGTCGCCGGCCACCGTGTCCATCACTACAAAGTCGATCGGAGACTCCGACGATCTACCAATCTGTTGACAAGTCATATATATATATATATATATATATATATATATATATATATATATATATATATATATATATATATATATATATGAATTAAAAACAAAGGAATGTGGGCACCTGGAGTAAGAAGGTGTTAGTTGTCGTCTCTCTGCACTATAAGAGTAATGAGAATAAAGAGTGAAAGTTCCTGTGTGAACAGGCCTTAGTAAGGGTACGAGTGTGTGCGCACACACTCGTACTCTAACGCTTCGCGTACACCTAATCCGTCATCGGCCGAAGTTTGCTCGGGCGATGACGGCCGTACACGGACGATCGAATCAAACACTTGTAAAACAAAGAGAGCGCGTACACCAACACGACCGTTATCGTCAGATAACGCACGAAAACGGCCGATCAACCGTCGAGTCCGAACTTGTTTGGATTTCTCACCTGACTGCCGGCGTCTACAGTGCAAATTGAGTGTATTTATAATTTAATTTAATCATTTTGTCTTTATTCTCTTGTTTCTGTCAGTGTTGTTATCTAAACGACTATGGATAATGAAAATAGAAAAATATAAAAGAATATCGGCAACGTCCAATGTCGGCACAAGTGGTACACTGTTGCAGTGTAAGCACATACACGTCCGAATTACTCATCCGAGTAGTTCTGTCCGCCATCGGCCGACAAAATCGGTTTTGGTGTACACGTACCGTTAGGCCTGTTCAGATGGCTAGACTCAGTTGACACTGGCTGCTGTGATCGAAATTGAGTCTGGAGAACATTATCATTTAATATAACCCTATTATTAATTAAAAGTTATTATAATTTTTTTGCTATATTGCATTGAAAACCTGTCCATTGCGCTCGGACATAGATGATAATTAAGTGTCCAAGGAAGTCATTATATTAGTCGCGCTTAAGATGCTAAAAAACGTTTCATAGTATCAGATCCCTTTGGAACCATAACGATAATGAAAGAGAACGACTTCTACAGAATATTTGCTATTATGATTCTGGTCTGCTTGGGTTTTCGCTGCATTCACTAGCTGTCACTTACACTTGTTATTTTTCTAAGGATTAAGTTAGTAAAATTACAGCCTATATACGTCCCACTGCTGGGCACAGGCCTCACCTCATTTCTGAGAGGGTTTTAGGGCAAGGCAGTGTCCGCCGAGCTGCCCTAATGCGTGTTGGTGAACTTCACATGTCTTCGAAATATTTTTTTTGTTATTCCTCAGACATGCAAGTTTCCTCACGATGTTTTCCTTCACGCCTAGCGTGTAAATCAGCACTTAAAATTGCAATTAACAATTTCATTGGTGCCGGCGGGGATCGAACCCGGGTTACTCGCGTTCTGTTATATTTACAGCGAGCGTTAACCATCTAAGCTACCACGGCTCATTGATTAACTTTGTGTGACTAAACTTTTACTTAACTAACTTTTAGTTACATCAAATAATATTGTTAGTCTACAATTTATTGCATCAGTAGCTTTAAAGAAGAGGATACGTGTTGAGTTTTTTACACCGTATAAATTTCCAATCAGAGGAACCTCATTTTGATACTGCGGACGTAGATTTAAAAATACAACGTCTGAAGACTATTTCTAATCTTTTACGTTGGAAAATAAGGCTATATCATTAATTTTATTTCATATTCATCTACCCCGGTAAAAAATAATAACCTTAAGTACATTACCTAAACTTCCCGTTGAAATGTAATCCAAAGCCTACGGGGATTATGTACGTAAAACCTAATTCGTTCAAGATAAAACTTATTCCAGAACGTTTCGGCATACAGAGTTGTGGCATACAAAGAGTACCTATATTGATAGTCTAAATGCATGTAATTATTATCACTGCAACAGTCTATCTAAATAAAATTCTATCACAATATCACAACCGACACCCGTCTCTCTATTCCTCTTATCGTACGTTTATGAATAGTAAACAATAACAACGATAGGAAACTTTTGTTTTTAATTTCCTTATCGTCCGTTCATTTGAATGGTTTCATTTAAATTGTAGCTACACAAGTAAACACAAAAGATAAATGAAATATTTACTATTGTTTTGAAATGAAAGTACATGGAAATGCAAGATAGCAACATTACTGTCACAGCAGCTATTATAAATAATTATAATTATCTTTTACTTGCTTAGTTTATTTTAAGTTCTTATCAACTTTAAAATAAATTCTGAAGGTAGTGTAAATTATATTCACGACAAATCAATAGCCAGAAAAACATGCATAGGCCGGTCGCCACACAAGGGATAATCAGTAATGAAATGAGACTTAATTTTTTATGAACAACTGTAATATCATTTACGTAAGACAACGTTATGGTTACAAAATGAATGGATCGACTCGACTGGGAAAGCACAATGCTCAGAATACCAGCATAAAATAGCAGCAACGGCATAATTATTAATTACTACCGTTCCTATGGTGATTGTAGAGAACCGAGGACCCTTTTTCATTCATTAGTGAAAGGTATCCCATCTTAGCATGTAGGGGTAACAAGTGACAACAGGTCTGCATTTTGATTCATTGATACCGTGCGCATATGGGCACCGCATGGGTCTAGCATCTACTTACCATCAGGTTGGTAAGTGGACAAACGAGCTGTGTGCTTTTTGGTCATATTATGTAAAAATATATCATTTAAAAATTAAGTCTTCTTTCTTTTTGAAATATATTTTACTCGATAAGAAAAATGTTAAAAATCAATAGGTATGTGAAAAAGTCTGCATCATTTATGGCCGAAGGAATCGACCTTAGAAAATACTAGGTGGATTTTATGGTATCCGATAGATGATTCACTACATATCCACTAATCTTGTACACAGACCGCTAAAGATGAGAGACGTGAAGTAATTCGCTCATCAATCCGCCTGCTAAGCAAAACGATCGCCACAAAAACTTGTTTCGGAAAGACCCACGTTATACAATCAAAGACTCACGTACAGCTATGGACAATTTATTATTGGGTAATGATAAAGGAGATGCATTTTGGCAAACGTTGTTTTTTTAACACAAAATAAGGGTGGTATACGAGCACATCCGATAAGTTAAGTGATAAGTGGACCATAGATATCTACATCTACCCTCGATTAAGTATCAAAATGCAGATGCGTTATCACCTCAGAGTAATCACTGAGATGGAATGCTTCGTTTCCACTAAAAGCAGTTCTCTACAATCACCAGACGAAACAGCAACATTAAGCTGTTATTTTACGCTGGTATTCTGTGAGAGCGTGGTCCTACCCCGGTCGCGCAGACCCATCCGTGCCACAACCATAATATAGCTGCAGCGTGGCGCTAACATATGAGAATGTTCGAACCATTAACTACGGTTAGGTTTTGGATGTTATTCAGTATTCCTTTTCTGCCACTGTGTTGGTCTCGATAGGTACCATCTTCTCATTTTACTACTTCCACGCATCAGAGCGCACTGTTCCGGTCTAAAGGAAACAGGAAGCCAGTATAATTACAGGTTGTGTGGCATTCCATCTTAGTCTTCAGAGGCGGCAACGCAACTTTAACCTTATTTTTTTTATTTTTTTTATAAAAGAATATTAACAATGTTATAAACATTACTAATATTCCCCTTAACTACTCGTGGTAAGCTTAAATTGCTTGTGTTACGAGTGGTTCACGCCAGTAATCGAATAGCGGATCTGAACCCACGACCTTTTTGAGTTCGCGGTCCACGCCCTGCCATTAGGCTATTGTCGTTTTATTTATACGTAGTAGGTTTGCAGACGGCCATGAATAAAATAGAATATAATATTTTTATTACGTAGACTACTTACTACATACTTATTAAAATAATTTTTTTTATTTGTCAATGATTTGGAAAACATCTCTATCTTGGGAAGAACCAGCAGGAACAAGAATAATATACAATTATATAAGAGAATCATAACAGAACCAGCGATAGCAATCAATTCATTCCCAGGATTATTTTGATTCATTATAGAATTAACTATAATAACTCTTTTTATACATTACTAGCCGGCCAGGCAGACTTTGTTCCGCCTTTTGGACGACTGTTTGTCCTTTATAAAATCTTTAAATTTACAAAACAAAATATTGTATTATTATGTATTATGTCACTTATGGGGATAAAATCCTATCTCTCAAGTGAGAAGATGCACAAAAACACATACTTACAAAATTCGATTAAAATCGGTTGAGTGGTATTTTTATATATTATAAAGAGTACCTGGATGACCGAGCTTTGCTCGATATTTTTTTGGAAATCGTGTGTTTTGGAAATTATATTTAGATAGAAATTACCGACTGAAAAAACATGAATGATATTTTTTATTCTTATTGACATAATAGAAAAAACTGAACTGGTTAATTGAATAAAAAATCATGAGTGCAATTAGTTTAATTTAAATTTTCGTATTTAAAAAAATACTAAAAAAAGGCCTCTAAATTATAGATTTTCTCAAAAAAGAAGGGAACTTGAAACAGTTTTTTCAGTTTCAGACAGTTTTTCATTGCCTGAAAACACGGACAAAACGACATTTTCTAAAAAAATCCTAGTTATATCGATTTATTAACCCCGAAAACCCCTGGACACAAAATTTTATGAAAATCGTTGGAGCCGTTTCTGAGATTCCGATTATATATATATATATATATATATATATATATATATATATATATATATATATATATATATATATATATAAGAAATGCTCGTTTAGGTATAGGAAAGGATTAGTTGAATGAAATTTTGAAACCTGTAGATGCCATATGGGATTTTGTAATAAGTAAAATCATATACTTTTTCCAAAGTTCAAGTTTTTTTCTAAGGAACTCTAATTTTTATAAATTATACTTACAGCCCTTTTTGCAAAATAAATAATAGTTCTAATGTCAGTAGCGTTTTGCCATAGCAAGATTCCATAACACATCACGCTATGAAAATAACTAATAAATAGTAAACTAATCTGGGTGTCTCAACATTAGTGAGTCTTCTAATTATTCTTACAGCATAAGCTACATA